CCACCTGTCTCGAGGAGTGGGGAGACTCGTGCGTAGATTCAGGTGGATCCCGCAACAACACCGATGGGAACAGAACCGGCGAGAACAGAACCGGGATAATTAGCTCCGCCGAACTCTACTTCAGGTGAGTAGCGAGGCGAGGTCCCTCTTTGTCGAAAAAGCTACGAAAACCTAGAGCATCCTCTTTCTGTTTGAAGGTATCGCTATTACCATGAATAATTTGATTATTTCGTTAGAGAACGTTCCATTGTAGCAGCCTTGCAAGAAATGTCGAATATTCCGAAGAAGACGTCTACAGAGTGTCCCATAAATGTTGGAGGCCCTTGAAAGGGGTGGTTCGGGGGGTGATTCGAAACAACGTCTTCCTTGGCGAAAATGTTGTCCGAGGCTTCGTTAAGGAGATATTAACACTTTGCCGGCTCTGTTATTTCGCTTGTCGCCGGCTGTCGTCAGCCAATACTTTGCGAAGGTCACCACTGTGGTGTCGCCGGACGTCATAGTGTTAACAGAAAACCCTGACCAATCAGAGCGCGAGCGTGTCGTTGGAGCGCCCGCGGTAGCGTAGGCCACACTTTCTCATTGCTCAGGGTTGTCTGTTAGACAACATTTTCGCTAAGGAAAAAGTTGTTTCGAATCACCCCTCGTACCACTCCTTCCGATAACCTCCAACATCTTTCAGACATATCAATTCCTATATCACGTATCAATTAATCCCGCCAGTCCTCTGCTCGCGTCCCGATAATCCCAACTCGAACTCCGAATCCCAATCCGAACTCTTGTCTCGTGGAAACCAGCGCGAGACTCGTTCTTTGGCCGTAACGTGCGACGTAAACGCTTTCTCATCAGGAAAATAGTGCTAAAGGAGAAGCAGACGATCGAGGATGGTATCGGGTTGCCGGATTGGAAGCTGACGGTCTGCTTGCTGGTCGCGTGGGCCTGCATATTCGCGGTGCTGGCGCGCGGCGTGAAGAGCTCGGGAAAAGCGGCCTATTTCCTCGCGCTCTTCCCTTACGTCATCATGATCAGCTTGCTGATCAGAGCGGCGAGCCTGGACGGCGCCGTTAACGGGATCGTTTTCTTCATCAAGCCGGATTGGGGGAAGCTGTTCGATGCGAACGTCTGGTACGCTGCTGTCACACAGTGCTTCTTTTCGCTGTCGGTGTGCTTCGGTGGTGTCGTCATGTACTCGTCCTACAACGACTTTAGACACAATATATACAGGTTACTCTTTGAATATAAAATAATGCTTGAATAGAGAAGTTAACACGGTTAGAACGAGACGCTTGTTTCTCCGGTACCGTTACTAAACTTGGTCATGCGTTGACAATCGGGGGGGGGTTGTCGTAAGTCGCTATCGGGATTCGTTGGAGTATTACGGGACCTGAAGATTCAACTTTTGTCAGAGATATCGTCGATAAATCGGTTACCATCTCTGCCGTCGTAATTGCTGGCTATCGACGATGGGACGACCGCACTTCGCGTACGTTGTCCCGATACGGTAAAGTCTTGTTAAGGCTTAGCTGAAAGCAAATTTCTCCAGGATAAAAGCACAGAAACCAACCCCAGGGAGGAAAAGTTAGTAAAAGTTAAGAATAAAAAAGTTTCACCGTTGCATTAAATCCTTTCACCGCCATAGTTGGATGTTTTCGTTCCGTCCTCTTCTTTACTCGCTGTCCTTGTCTACGTACGACGCTTGGCGGCAAACATCACAGAATATACCAACTCCAGGTTATCTGTACGAGGTCAGTCCCGAGTTTGCGCGCTTAACAAGACTTTACTGTAGTTTCTTTGTCACTAAAATATTATTAGTAAATAATCCGTACGTAATAGTTTATGTTTCACGTTACATTACCGAGTCGTACAATGCCAAGAATTGTTCCGGCTTCCTAAAAAAATATCATTTCAAGCGCAGATTTGTATCGTTCGTTAACTCTTACGAACATTTTGCCTCTGCAGAGACGTGATAGTAGTGACCACCTTGGACACGTTCACCAGCCTCATGGCGGGTTTCACCATTTTCGGTATCCTCGGGAATTTGGCTCACGAGCTCGGCATAGAAGACGTCAGCAAAGTCGTTCGGGGCGGAACCGGTCTCGCCTTTGTCTCCTATCCGGACGCCATCGCCAAGTTCACCGTTCTGCCGCAGGTGAGAATCGAAGCCCTCCCATTGATTAGTCGTCGATATCAGGCCTGATAGTTTGCACGTAGATAAACGTTCATCCGGTCGCGTCGCTTCGAGATACTTTCTCGCTTGATCGGAGCTACGTCGCGTCGGTTCCGTTACAAAATAGAAACCATAGATCAGAGATCGGCAATCTTCGCTGACCTTTGGCCAGGTTTAACGAACGTTGTTCTCTTTGCGTAGTTCTTAACGCGTTAATAACGTTGACGTTAATTGTGAAAGTTGAAGCCGATTACGAAGGCAGACGGTCCAAACTTGTCATTTCCACGAATAATTATCGTTTAATTAAGAATATTAAAGTCATAGTCACTCGTGAAAGTTGGCTCGCTATGTTCAAAGCTACGCGCGAGAGTAGACGTCTCGAATCTCAAATCACTTTATCTAGATTTGCAATCCTGATTTACATTATCCCGTTCAGTCACTCGAACAAGCGACAAAAATAATAAACGTCATGTTACGACCAGCGTTATTGCTTTTAATATGTAAATCTCTATTCCACCAGCCATAAATACGACCTTAATGTAAAACGGTAGACCATGATCCAACTGTAGAGAAGTCGAGTTCGTTTCCTCTAACGCACCGTCCGCGAATTAATTCAAGGCGTTCAGGGTGATCGAGATAAGTCGAAGGATCGTAACAAACAAACCTACGCGAATTTTATCCATTCGTTTGCGCGCTCGAGGTGATCCAGATGTAATTCTCGTTGGAAGGAACGGCTCGTCAAGGATTTTACCGCTGTTCGCAGTTGTTCTCGGTGCTGTTTTTCCTCATGCTTTACGTGCTCGGCATTGGAAGCGCTATCGCTCTGGCGGGCTCGCTTATCACCATCATCAGCGATCAGTTCCCAAACTGGAAGCACTTGTACGTGGTCCTCGGCACGGTCACCTTTGGCTTTTCCGTCGGCACCGTTTACTGTACACCCGTAAGTATCGTGCGTGTACGTTACCGGAGTCCTAAAGCGAAAGACAAACATTTCCAAGTACGTGTATTTATTCCCGTTTCTCTACCTACAGGGTGGACAATTCATTTTGGAGCTGGTGGATTTCTACGCTGGCTCGTTCGTCGTGTTCATCCTGGCCACTTTGGAGATAACCGGCATCTTCTGGGTGTACGGATTGGAGAATTTCTTGGACGACGTGGAGTTCATGTTGAAACGAAGGCCGTCGGTGTACTGGAGGCTCTGTTGGGCCGTCATCACCCCTCTTCTGCTGGCTGTGATTCTGCTGTATACCCTCGTCTCTTTGCGACCCTTGACTTACAGCGGTATTCCATATCCCGACAGCGCGCACGGTACGTACGAATAATATTTCACGTAGGAATATTAAGCGTCCGATTAAAAAATCTAATTGCAGCCGTCGGATGGAGCTTATGCGCTATCGGCGTACTGCAGATTCCTTTCTGGCTGATTTACACCGTAATGTCCAACAGAGACCTGAAGCTGCCCGAGGTAAAATGAAAAGTCGATCTCGATAGCGGAACGAACGACTATAGTTGCGCGTTTGCAGATGATCAAGTCAGCATTCAGGCCCTCCCCGGAATGGGGACCTAAGAACGCCAAACAGCTGACCTCCTGGCGCGAATTCAAGGAAACCAGACGGAAAATACGCGAGAAACGAGAATGCTCGAGGATCAAGCAATTCGTTTATGTGATACTCTGCTGGGAAGATAAGCTTGTGTGACGAGAAGTCTTGGAGTCAACCATTGGAGCAGTTAGCGATGGTAGAACAGTTTTGGAAATGAACGATGCCAATTTCTTTTTTTTTTTTTTCTAAACTGCACATACTCAACTTACAAGGGGTGTAAAGCATTGATTTTGAAGTGTTCGAGTTAGCTTCAGTTAAAGTTAGCACGAGTTATCGAAGATGAAAAGATGGATGCTTTCTTTCTTAGCTTCTTCGTTCGTCTTCCAAAGATTCGTTCCTACTCGTTCGGTATTCCGTCCTGTAAATAGTTCTTATTGTTAGACGTAGACCGTCCCATTCTCGATGTTTCATCCTTTATCGCTCGTACGTTTTATACTCTTAGACTGAAAAGAAACGGCTTTCCGAAGGAAACGTACAATTCATCGCGGTGGAACAATTTTGTTTCTTTTCGTAGCGCCACGAAGCACAGTATTATCCATAAAATCGAGTATCGGCGTAGCTTGAACGATCAACGTTACGCTACTGCCACTAAAAGTATTTAAACTCCTTCTGTTATTTATTAATAGAGTCTGCCTTGTAAATGCCTACGATACGCTTTCGATAGCATTTATTAAAAACGTGCCACGTTTCGCGTAATATAAGTCGCTATAGAAATGTAACAAATCGTTGAATTACGCTTGCGATACTCGACGCGACCGCTTCTCCGGTGTGCAGATATTTCAATCATTCATAATCCAAGAAATTCCGATCGTCGACGTACCCCTCTTCCTCTTCCTCTTCTTCTTCGTGTTTCGTCAACACGGATGTTTCGTCTTCCAAGTCCTGTTTATAGAGTAATATGTGTGTTAGCAGTAGTTGCACCATAGGTACGCGAAGCAATTTATATAATAAAATAGAAAAATCATACGAACCCGCGGCTTGACCCTCTCCCTTTCGATCATCAGCTCCAGCTCGAATTCCTTTTGTCTCCTGAACCGTTCTTCGCATATCTGAAATCGTCATATTTTTTCTTTTTTTTTTTTCATTGCACGATTAATACAATTTGCTAATAATATTATACATTTTAGAAAATGATAAGTTCCGATAATCGAATCAGAAGTCTTCAATGCATCTATGTTATCTACAGGATGTAAAGAAATCGTGGACACAGGGGTCGATAGAACTGTTTGTATAAAAGTAAAGCGAGATACTTGATCCATAAAACAGATCGTTTTGTTGGTAACGCGGAATAACGCTGTGTCGAGCATTGGCAATGGGTTGTCGAATTTTGTATCGCTACTTAACTTTGTAATTCAACAACCAATGACCGAGGTATTCGATGGGGTCGATAGGCTTCTTTGCAACGATTTCACGAAGACCTTGCGACAGAGGTTTTCTCAAGAAATTTCTCAAGTAAAGCCCATCCGAGGATAGATACTCGTCGGAGGAAGAAGACACCGACCACGAGGAATCGACATCCTTGTCCTTCCGTGCGTCCCACAGTTTCTTCAGCGTTTCGACGTCCTCGTCAGCGAACCCCATCGCCGTCAGCAGTCTACGTAAAAAATAATCGAACGCGATAAGGTCACATACGCCAACCATAACTCGAAAGACTTTCTCACCTAAAGAACTCAGAGGTGGGCCCAGTCTTCAGCAAAGTCGCGATCAAGCTCCGACTTAAACATCTTTCTCGTAAAAAGCTCGCGATATCTTCGTTTGGAGACGAAGGTACGTTTGGTGCCACGTTGGATCGATCCTCTTCATTTTCTGCTTTCTGCAGTGACTTCAAGTTTTTCGTATCTACCGGAGATCTAACAGTGGCTTCTTCTTTCAGTACCTTTCTCGCTTCCTCGCCGATGTTGTGCAACTCCAATTCCTTCAGTTTCTCCAGATCCGCGCGTTTCCACCCGCATACATCCAAAATATCATGTTCCTAGCAATAGTGGTTAAGTTTAGCAATAATAACCAATAGGTATCGATTAATATCAGAGTTAGCAATTAGTTGGAGAATTAAATTAAACAGACGCGGAGCCTTTTACAAACGACCTTGTCTAATTTTGATACTCCGTTCGTTTCATGGTCCGGCTCCATTGTGAGTGTTAATTTCTTCTTACAATTTAGATCGTTCTTAACCATTCTCCTCCGCCTTGAATTGGAATTAAGAAAAAATATTAATTATCAGCAACTTCACTGTAGTTTACATACTGTGGTGGCACCTCCGCTCCTCACCTCCAGAGGGAAACCGCGCAGTCCGCGCGTTTCTCACAAGCACTCAGTTCCCTCTATCATTCCTATATAAGTCCCTCCTGACCAAACTCCAAATATCCTGGCGTCTAAGGCACGGGTCACGGTCCTGCTGGATAGCCTTCCTGAAGAGTCCAGACTTAGCAGGTCCAGGACGAAATGCTATTATATTGTAGTAGAATACTTACACCCACGATACTATATACATATAGTAGAAATTCCTGTCAGTCGAGAGAAATGAAGTAGTACAACGTTAATTGATATCCCAATATAATAATTGTAAATTCCGATTCTGGCAAAAAGACCGCGTTTGAATTGTTGATCGGATTATCAAAGGAGAGACAGTAACTCCATTATCAGTATTCCGCATTCATCCATTTATCGTGACCGTTTAATACCAGCAATTACGATAATTACAGCACTCGAGGACGCAATCGGAAACATTGTAAATACGTACCTTTTTTCACGCGTCGATCGCCGTTTTCCTTCGATCCTCGCGACCACGTCAGTAACGGTAATAAACGCGAGTTCCGGGGCTGCGCGCGCTGTTATCAACCGGAGCATAGAGTTGCAGTGCAAACTAATGTCACATTATCGTCGAAGTTTTTCGAGTGCGTTCGTCTGATGACCGATTGGATCGACGCCGGTTTCTCTATAAAAGCGGATGCACGCGACGATCGATCGCAGCTTGGCGGTCGATTTAACCGTTCCTCGAAAACCGCGCCGTTACGTTTCATCCCGTGACTGGTTCGTTCGACACTCCACTATCCGATGCACGAGGACATGGTGAGTCGAGGAACGTGACTTTTCCTTCGTCTTTCTGTCACGAGATCTTCCTAAAAATCTCCGAAACCAACTATCGATCTCGAGAGCGATCGGTTAGAAACTCTTCGAGCTGGATTGCACAGAAATACCAAAATTTCGAAGCTGTCGCGAATTTATTTAATTACTCTTTTAGTTCCAGAGATACAGTTACGCGAAAATTGACAAATTTTCCCAAAAAGCGAAGAGAAACGAAGTCGGCAAATTTAATTACCTTAATTTCAAGACCACAGCGGAACAACTCTGATTTTTTTTTTTTTTTTTTTTTTATTCGTGGAAACACAGACGATAGCAAGTTTTTACTCACGCGATAAGAGCCGGGCAACATAAAGAGCTTAAAGCTAATGCTTCGCTATCTCGAATGTAGCACACGATGCAAATCGTCTGATAATGAGTGACACTGAGAGAAAGAATGATTATTAAGCATCGTAACACATATACTTTGTTCCACGCGAACTATTAAAGGACAAAGAAAGGGGCCAATCGCCATCCGAGAGTTACGAGTTTGAAACAAATATATCGCATTTATCATCAGTTTCCTAAAGTTAATTTTTAGCAGAGTTACTTACGAATTTTCGCGAAATAGTAACGCGATGGACGTAAGACGTCTCCCCTCCCTTGGTCTCGCGATGGATGTACCGTGACCTTGACAGTTGGGAAAAGACGACACTGGAAATTGCTGCGAGTATCGAGACCGGCGGAGTTGATAAAATCAATGTTTACAAACGTGCACGGAGGGTTCCTTTGCTTTCGACCTTCTTCAAATTTATTTAATATTGTGGTCACCGAGAGTGTGAAATAGCGCGCTATCTTTATGCAATCTTTCAAACGGAAATTCGCTTTTAGCCCACTTATCGGTAACCCTCTCCACTTGCAGCTAAATTACTCCACTTACCGTTAAACCGTTCCACTATATCAACTCGTAGAGCGAGTAGAAACGTAGCTGAGAGATACCGAAGATACCGAAACAATTTTACTTACGTTCTCATCTGCGCGACAATCTGATATGTTGCCTTGTATTCGCAGAGCGGTGCAGTGGAAACTGGCCACCGGAACTCGGCGTTCGTCGAGGACGAGAAAGATCGACGTCGTCGCTCCGACAACGAATCCGGAGAATCGATATCGGGATGCTCGACATCAACGGAGGAAGTAAAAGCGACGAGCAGCTGGAACAACAGCATAGAGTTCCTGTTGTCCTGCGTAGCCATGTCCATCGGGTTCGGTAACATTTGGAGGTTCCCGTTCACCGCTTACGAAAATGGCGGCGGTGTGTTCCTGATACCTTACGTCATCGTCCTGCTCCTCGTTGGTAAACCGTTCTACTATCTAGAGATGATAATGGGACAGTTCTCCTCGTCGTCGTCCATCAAAGCTTGGAGATTGTCGCCCGCGTTTGTTGGTAATTTACAATCGATTTCATCGAACCTTTAAGATCCGGATCCTTCGTAATTAGACATTGCAATGGATTCTCGCAACTTTTATTTCGTATTTATTTCTATTAAGCGGGTCATCCCGTGTGACGGCCGTTTTTTTTAAAGGTTTTCTCGGTTGTTTTTATAGCGAAATGAAAGAACACAGTGTAAGATCAGACCGTGTATGCCAGGAATGCGTTATAGGGCGTGCGAATAATGACTCTGTGTAACTGTGAATTTGCTATATTTTCGATACGTCTCGACTCCACGAGTCTGAAACACGTCAGAAAAATCCCAACCGCGAGAACACCCTCGACGGTCCGACCTTTTCCTAAACGAAGTCCTCTGACCGAACGAACCTCCGTTGAGAGAGAGAGAGAGAGCGCGCGCAGAGACTAAACACATGGCCTGCTTCAACCATTTAACTATTTCTAATTTACTAACAACAGAGCTTCCAAATTTTTACTATATATTTATTCAGCCTTTAACTGTAACTTTGAATTCTTTCAAGCAAAAATATAACGCGTATCGCGAGACTTATCGCTCGTATGGCACCCATGTATAAAAAAGTTAGGTAAACGGCGTCCATGATGCCGACAGACTGGCTAATCCGAAATAATCTGTTTTCTGTTAATATCTCCTTAACGAAGCTTCGGACGACATTTTCGCCAAGGACACGCTGTTTCAAATCAACCCCCTCCCCCCCCCCTCCGCCGCCCCCGAACCACCCGATTGCTACCTTTTTCAAGGACCTCCAACATTTTTTCCCCATCCCGTGTATCTTGAAACTATCGTACAATAACAAACGAAATTATTTCAGGGATTGGTTGGGCCCAGTGTTGTTCGTGCGTGGCGCTAATGACGTATTACACTTACCTGATGGCTCTGACGCTGTTCTTTCTCGTCGCCTCTTTTTCCGCCGAGCTACCCTGGGCAAAGTGCAGAGAAGAATGGGGCGACCGTTGCGTGGACTCCGACAGAAAGATGAATACCAGCGCGAACAGTATGGACGCGCTCGAAGGAACGCACCAGGGAACGAACTTGTTCAGGTTGCTGGTAGACGACGAACACTACAGCAGCTCGGCTGAACTTTACTTCACGTGAGACACTTTACCTTCCCTTCGACTCCATACTTGAATGTACTTAATTATTTATACCGGAGAACATTTTTACCCACTGTTCGATACCAGGAAGATAGTTCTTCAGGAAAAAGACAACATCGACGATGGAATCGGACTGCCAGATTGGAGATTGACGCTCTGCTTGTTGGGTAGCTGGCTCCCGGTGCTCCTGGTATCGTTCCAGGGCGTGAGAAGCTCGGGAAAGGCTTCCTATTTTCTCGCGAGTTTCCCTTACGTAGTTCTGATCAGTCTTCTGATCAGAGCGGTCACCCTCGATGGCGCCGCAAAAGGGATATTGTACTTCGTCACGCCGAAATGGTCGAAGCTCTTGGACCCAACTATTTGGTACGCAGCCGTCACCCAATGCTTTTTCTCGCTTTCCGTTTGTTTCGGCGTCATCATCACCTACTCGTCGCACAACGACTTCAAGCACAACATCTACAGGTACACGAGGACAATATGTGTTACAATATACGATAATATACAGGGTATTTCAAAAATGTTGAAGGTCCTTGAAAGGGGTGGTGATTCGAAACAACTTTTCCCTCAGCGAAAATGTTGTCCGAAGCTTCGTTAAGGAGGTATTAACAGAAAAGACCGACCAGAGCGCGAGTATGCGGGTGGAACGGCCGCGCTCTAATTGGTCGGAATTTTCTGTCAACCCTTTGCACTCGAGACCTTTTTTTCTTCTATCTACCGGCAACTCGAGATTTCTCTTTGATTTTTCTCTTGAGAGGAGTTTTCTCTTGATACCTCCTTAACGAAACCTCGGACAACATTTTCGCCGAGGAAAAAGTTGTATCGAATCACCTTCCGAATCCTTTCCATGCACTTCAACATTTTTAGGACACCCTGTATTTGGACAACAAAAAGTTTAGAGTGTTCCACGTTTCAGGGACGCGATGATCGTGACAAGCCTGGATACGGTGACCAGTTTCATAGCTGGTTGCACGATTTTTGGGATTCTCGGGAACTTGGCCCACGAGATGGGGATCGCGGACATCGACAAGGTGGTCAAGTCCGGGGTTGGCTTGGCGTTCGTTTCCTACCCTGACGCGATAGCCAAGTTCACGTTTTTGCCACAGGTAAACGCGCAAATAGAAGAATTACAAAATTATTATGTACATAATTGTACCGTATCTGTGATTTACAGCTGTTCTCGGTTCTCTTTTTCGTGATGATGTTCGTTCTGGGAGTTGGCAGTACCGTGGGCATGGTATCGGGGATCGCAACCGCCCTGAAAGAGCGGCTTCCGAACGTGGAGATCTGGCAGATCGTTTTTACGGTGTGCTCGATGGGATTCGCCGTCAGCACAGTTTACGTTACTCCCGTACGTAAATATTTCTAGAAATGAATAGCCTTGCTTCGTTAATTTCTGCCACAAACAAAAGTTTTCTCTGATACAACCAGATCTGATTACAACCAGGATAAGAACTGTCGCTTATATATGACACAATAAAATTGCGCGAGTTTCTTTGTATTGTTTTCAAGCATCGTCACCTTCGTGGATATCAATGTTCAAGAGATAGCTTTCAGGAAAGTGGACGATACTTGAAAGATACCCGCTATCGACGCGAGTAAAGTGCGACACAACGTAATAAATTGAACGATTATGTTAATTTCCTATCGGAGTCACGATAAAAGATCAGGGAACAAAGTACGATAACGTTCGCGAGAGTTGCATAAGCCATGGTATCTCGTTAGCGTTTGTCCAAGGACTTTAAATTCTGTTCGCAGGGTGGCCAATTTATGCTGACGCTCGTCGATTACTATGGCACCTCCTTCGTTGTGTTCATCTTGGCCTCTTTTGAAATCACCGCGGTAACGTGGTTGTACGGTTCGTATTCTCGCGTCGTTTCTAAAGAATGTACATATGTATACTTGGAGAAGTGTTCATAAACAAAAGCAGTTTTCCTCATCGATCAACGTCGCAACTTTCAGTGGCTCAATTTTTTAGTGTTACGTAGAACTAAAGCGTTCCACAGACTACTCTTCGCGTAGCTCATGAAATCAACTAACTATGCCGTGCAACGGTTGCTTTTATGAGCTACGCGCATGCACCAATCTGACATCCCTTCGTGTCTGACGTGGGCCCATGTCACGTCAGAGCAGTCTGTGGCACTCTGTGGGACGCTTAATACGCTATTCTTTGTACAGACAGTCCCCTCCCCTCCCAATGAACTGCTTGAAATGCTCGGAATACCGGTAATTAAAGTAATCAAGACAGGTATAGAGAACTTGCTGAACGACGTCGAGTTCATGCTGGAGAGGAAGACGACCAGCTACTGGAGGATCTGCTGGTTCCTCGTGACCCCGTTGATTCTGATAACAATTTTCATCTACACCGTCGCCACCCTGTCGCCATTGACCTACGGAACCAAAGGATTTCCGACATCGGCCCACGCAGCTGGCGCGGTTTTACTCTGCTTTAGTATTTTCCAAATACCATTCTGGATGACGATGGAAATAGTAAAGAACAGGCGGCTGCCTTTGTTACAGGTAAAAAACTGTTGAAAATTTTCAGTTGAATTAAACAGAGATCGCATTTATACACAATTTAGGCAGTCGCGGTTAATTATCCTCTGTTTCAGAACTTGAAGAGGTCCTTTCAGCCGACGTCGGAATGGGGACCGAGGGAGGCCAAGTACAGGAAAGCCTGGCTTCTCTTCAAACAAGAAAAAATGAAAGAGAGGAGTCTCAGGACGCAGCCCAAGTGGCTTCAACTGATTTGCATACTGCTTCGTGTAAAGCTGAAATAAGACTGTCCCAGAAGACCGTTCTCGAAACAGAATCTCCTCTTGCATTCTCCGGACGCTCGTTACCAGTGGAAACAAATAAAAATGGTTGGCGCGATAACGCGGAAATTCCTGTAAATAATATTAGATTGTCCCATAAGTTCCCGTACATTTGCTATCAATAAATCATTTTATAATAACATTATAATCAAACGATAATTATTCTTCAAAATTTTCTTCTATTTCTGTCAATTCTTCAATTCCATAAATAATGTTAATGTCAACAAAATTCAAGCATCAAGTGTCCGGGAACTTATGGGACAACCTAGTACCGCGAGATCGTAACTGTTTAACGTATTTATTTAGAAACGAAGTCTCTATTACAATACAGAATAAGCTGAGATCTACGGGGTATCTCGTCAGCGTCATCGAAGCAGTCCGATGGTCAGATTCTTGATCGAATCTCTTAATGCTGCAGTTGCTATCAATCTCCTCCGATCAGCAACGTCACGATTCTCGACCTTTTCTTGCCCAGGTTCATCCTAGATATCCTTTTGGCGTCCTTGAAAGCCTTCCACTCTTTGTACTTGCTCGGATCTTTGGGCCCCCAGTCGGGGTCCGGTTTAAGGATCTGAAAGCATACGGACGAAAGTGAAAAAGGACTCGAAGATTTCATGAAAGAAGTGGTCATCTCGGTTGCTTACGTCCAACGCGGGTTTATCTTTGTTTTGCATCCTGGTGACGATGATCCAAATAGGGAACTGGATTACTCCCAGCACTAACAGTAACCACCCAGCAACTGGAACAATGCGAAGCTTACGTTTATCTCTGTAGAGGTCCAAACGGTTAATTTTATCGTCTACTCTATAATATAGCACGTAAGGTCAATCAGCGGTCGAGAGCTTTAAATCTGTAACCTCTCGTGCCCAAGGACACCGAACAAGTCCCTCCTACGAATAAAGATTTTCCTACCGTAGGCAGAAGTTGGATAATATTCGCCGTTGTAGGTGAGAGGCGTCAACTCGCTCAGAAAGTAAATCAGGATCGAGAAGAGAGCCAGGGGTGTCAAGAAACCCCAGCAGAATCTCCAGTAGAAGGAAGGGCGGTTGCCGATCATGAATTCCACGTCGTCCAAAAAGTTGTCGACACCTGTGCGATAAGAATCGATTGGAAAGCTGTAGGCGAAGTTGTGGCGGAGGCCACGGATAAATCGACTCGTTCGGAGTGTTTCTAAGAACGTTGATCGTTAACGAAGTCTTTTACTCGAGCAGGTGGGAATCTTTCCCAAAATCGATTTTCTCGTTGGCCTCGCCATAGGCGGTAGGAGACGCGAATTATTCATTTACCGTACACCCAAGATATCCCTATCACTTCGAAGGAAGCCAGGAACACTATTATGAACGTTCCTCCGAAGTAGTCCACCAAGTTTAATACGTGTTGTCCTCCCTGCAACGATAATAAAGACTCGTTCGATAACATCTGTAATTGTTTATCGGAGCGCATCAGTAAAGTCTCTCACTGCTCGGCCATCGTACTTCTGGACCCCTCAAGGGATACACACCCCAGTTGCGGGGACGGTTTCAGTCCATTTATGGAGACTTTACTGTAGTATCAAAGGGATAATTCGACACTTTATCTACCGGGCTATTTAGAAACACTGTTTAATTAAAGAAAGAATGTTCTACAGTAGCATATGCCAATCTAGTCTGGCAATAATTCCTTCATACTGTTACTAGGTACGTTGAAAGCCAAGTCTGTTCCCAAAAACTGAACATTGTAAATAGACAATCATCGGCACAGTAAATAAGTTCGAGTAACTAAATACTGGAATTAAAAAAAGTTTATAAATAGGCTCCCGGTAAATAAAGTGTTAAAAAAGCTGCGTGCCTGCGTGCAATAAACGATTCCAATGAGAAAGCCGATGCTCGTGACGCAGGCAGCAACTTTCCAGTTCGGAATCCGAGGAAACTTGTCTTTGATGATGCTGGTGATGACGCCGGTGAAGGCGACGGTGGTGCCGATACCCAGGACGAACAGCATCAGGAAGAAGAGCACGGCGAAGAGCTGGGGCACCACCGTGAACTTGGCGAGCGCTTCCGGATAGGAAATGAAAGCGAGACCCGTGCCGGCGCGCACCACCGTGCTGATGTCTTCTTTGCCCACTTCGTGGGCGAGGTTTCCCAAGATCCCGAAGATGGTCGTCCCTGCTATCAAACTCGTGGCAAGATCCATGGTCGTCACCACCGTGCAGTCTCTGGAATAACGATTCGAGTCCGTTACCTGATCGTAACTTTCGGTGACGAACGTTGACATTTTTCACGCCGGATAAAAAATGACGTTTACGCTTGAAACGTATCGCTCGAGTACTATACCGCGGAAGGTGTACGCGCGAGGTCTCGTGACCTCGCACGAGACCTCGCGCGTACACCTTCGAATCGCAAGTATAGTACTCGAGCGAACGCAGAAACAGTATCGTCAGCGACGCCTCTTTCAAATAAAAAGTTTCACGGGAAACTTGTTCCCAATACAAAAAAAAAAAAAAAGAAAAAATTACCTTAATACATTGTGATCGAAACGATTGTAGGACGAGTACATGGTGACAGCGCCGAAACACACGCCGAGGGAGAAGAAGGATTGCGTGACGGCCGCGTACCAGACCGAAGGGTCGAAGATCTTTTCCCAGGTTGGCTCGAATAGAAATATAATGCCGTTCACGGCTCCCTCCAGGGTCACTGCCCTCACCAGAAGGCATATCATGATCACATACGGGAACAGCGCGAGGAAGTAAGCGGCCTTCCCGGTGCTTTTCACGCCGTTCCGGATCACTACGAACACGCACGTCCAGCTGACGAAGAGCGCGACCACCAGCTTCCAGGATGGTTCTCCGAGACCTTCCTCGATCCCCGATTCGTTGAGAACAACGTATCTGGAACGAAAGACCTTCAACAATTTTGGGACACCCTGTACATCTTATTATACTTATCTTATTATACGTAATACGTATCGTATCCTTCTATTCCGTTCTTTCCAAGTCAATTAATATCGATCGTAGCTCGTCGAAATCGAACGATCCCCGTTTTCCAGGGATCGTGATACGATAGAAAGGAAGGAAAGATTCGTACGGTAAACGAACCAATTTACCAAGTATATCTTCGACGCTCACCGAAAGTACAATTCCGCCGAGCTGCTCTTGTTGACGTTCGAAGTGGCGTTGCTGGCCGATGTGCTGTCGAAACAAACGTTGCCCCATTCTTCCCAGCAAACAGCCCACGGAAGAACCGATTGGAAGCTGGCCAGCAGGTAGTACATCGTCAACGACATCAGGGAACAATAGTAGGTGACCACGGAGAAGACGGACACGGTCACGCCGTATCCGATTCCTCGAATAATGGACAAGTTCGTTAGAGCGCTAGAAGAGAAGCTAGAAGAGAAGCAACGAAGTTCGCGCGGACCTTCGTTCGGTCTCGAGGCTCGGTTACAATCATCCTTGTACAGTGTACACAAATATCAACAGGTCAGTCTTGATACGTTCGCATCTTTTAAATTAATAATATTAAAAGAAATTTTGTTTAGGTCACAATATACAGTCCATTTTATCGATTAAAGGTACCTTTGAAGCCCGGCACCACGGACCAGACTTCCACGCACGATCTGCTGCTGAATTGTCCGAGTATCATCTCCATGTAGTAGATAGGCTTGCCAATGATGAAGAGAACGACGAGATAAGGCACCAGGAACGCTCCGCCTCCGTTTTCGTACGCTGTACTGGGAAATCTCCAAACGTTTCCGAGGCCAACAGAAAACGCCACGCAGGACATCAAGAACTCTATGTTACTCCCCCATTGAGCGCGTGCCTCTTTATCTTCGGGTTTTCCTTCCACGGACTGCGAGACAAACGATTCGAATACAAATAATTTAAAGAAACGAAAACGAAAACAATTCTCTTAGTAAATTAAACGAAACTTGCAGTTTTTATCTCGCGCTCTATGAGGGTATTAAGCAAAAATATGATACCTCGAAAGAATATCTTAATGACCCTAAAACGTCGTAAACCATGGTCTGGAATTTATTGGGTCTCCGCGTCATTTTTATTAACGTTTCGAGTGAAATCATACCAATTCGAGCGACGCATCCTTACTTCTGATCTGTTCCGTGCGATAAACATGTTGACGAAAACGACATACGATCGTTGTTTCTTAGAATCGATTCTTTCTATCGGTATCACTACACCGAACAGTTCTTCCACACAGTAACGATATGAAATAATATCGATCGGATAAATGTACAGAAATTAAATCGCTTAATAGTAACAGGTAAACGCATTTACGTCGAATGAACGTACGTGTAACCAACTTACCCCATTTTCCAGCTGCTTCCCGTTCGCCGATATCACCGAGAGCCTGTACGATCCTTGCGTTTGCTCGTCGCCCGCGACATTATTCTACCGAGAGAAAACGTAATCCTTTGACTACTCTTTCTTCTTCATTTTTTTACTTATTATCTAACAAATTGCGCGCTGCAACGCGTTCCTTCGATTATCGCCGCGTTTACGTAAGGAACACATCAGCGAGTACTTGGTTCGAATTTGCCACGAGGCGTTATTAAAGCGTAATTACAGCGAGATCGCGTTAAGTCCGTTACGAGTCGCGAGCAATATTCACGACGGAACAATGTTTCATTTATGATTGCATCTGTCGCACGATGGAGGCGGCGAAGAAGATTATCGTTAAATACGTTAAACGACCCCCCGATTAATAGGCATTGTACAAATATGTAAATATTAGTACTCCGTATTTATCTAATTTCGTTCTTGGGGCATCTTCTTTATTCGCTAAGCCACGAGCGTCGCCTTTAGTTAATACGATCACTAGACTCGCGGATGTTCGTGAAAATCCATATCTTTATCGATTCGTATAAAGAATCGAGATTTCTAAATATTTTCGTTCGCTGCGAACATCCGCATGTCTAATTGTTACAACGTTGCGTGCGAGCGTTCCTTCCAAGTAGGCGCGCAAGTAGCAAAATTGCCCGTACATATCTGTGCAAACATCGACGGATATAGTTGCATCCGCAACAGACGCGATAAATCTTACAGAATCGTCGAATTTCTTAAAAATATTTCGAAATAGGCCAACGTTGTTATTAAGATAACCGAAATTAAGCCACGACACAAGTTTACGACTGCAATTTAGATTAGCTCTTCGAAAGACACTCGATATTTAAAGTAGCGAATCGTTTGCACTTTCTAAGAAGCTGTTTCCTAAATATAACTTTTCTAAGCTCTGTGTAGAACGAACGAAACCCCTCTAAACTTATCTGTCAAGTGCGCGAGGAAAATCTCTAAGCAACCACACGATTTTTATACGTGCCAATCAAGAAGCTTCAAAGAATTCCTTGAGTTTTTACAATTTTTACAATTTTTACAATTTTAATAACTTTTCCAGAGTATCGCGGCCAGCTTACAATAATTCCGTATCGTTGGGGTGAAGTAACAAGCAATTTAGGTTGTTGTAATTTTCATTGTATTCTCTGGAACGCCCTTAGGTTTATTCTAATTTTAAGCATCGCGAGCCAACGCCACATGCACGCATAATTTCGTCCGAGTATTATACGTTATAGTTAGTGCAATACCTTGGTCGTTGCAACGCGCGAATTTGATTTATTTTATTGTAATCGTATACGTCGGAAAAAGTACGAACCTGCGCGTAAGTCATAGTCACTGACGGCACACCGGTCGCGGGTGTCCCTCCTCGGCGATCTGAACGCGATCTTCACGTGGCAAAAGCCTTTGGAAGACTGATCGACGACTTTTGTTCACGTAGATCAAGAGTGCGTCGTGAGAAATCGTGACAACTGGCAGTGCTATATTTTTTATTTTCGCAATAATGCCACGCCGTCCACTTATCAACTCCTCTTCTCACCCCGCGCCATCTTGAATTTTTCGGCTATCTGCCAGCGAAATTTCCACTCCACCCGCGAAAACGCCTTTCGCGATTCGAGACCTCGGAGGCTCGATCATTTTTCGCGTAAACACGGATCTCGTATAAAGCGTCGCGAGCTGTTTCCTCGAAAATTAACGGAAACGACTCGACTTAATTTTTGCCACGGTTAAATGGCGCAAGGGGCCTGATCTCGTTTGGGCTGATAGGTTTGCCTTCGCGGCTTTGCCATCACCTTTTCCCTTATTTGTACGTCGACGTCATTTCTGTCACGGTTAAAGTCTGATGGATTTTTGATCGCGCGACGAGTCGCTCAGAGGAATCCGTCGGACGCGATCCGAACGTTCCGCTTGCGTTGATTTTGTAAATCGCGAATTGTTTTGTAAATCGAGCGCGTCACAAGATCCGCGACAGGAAACGCGAGACGAGTTCGCATGGTCAACGCGTCTCTAACGAGAATCGTTAGAATTCTTTTCTTTAACAGAGCTCCACTCTGTTACAGTAGAAGTAATTCGTTCGAGACGGAATCGCGAACAAGGTTCCCTCGGGAACCCTCGAACCCTTCGCCTTCGTTCAAACGTCCTAAACGCAACGCTCGAGGTGCTTAATGTCCGAAGCATACATTGATGTCGATTATAATCTCGGCCAGAATGCGTCTACTTGTTTTCCTTGTGAACCTTTTTTCTCCGTACGTTAACGCACAGTCAAGCGTAACCAGCGCGACGCTCAACAGTGACTTTCTCTTTGTCAACTGAGACCGATCCGAGACCAATCATTTCTACCGTAGAATTTTCCGGCATTCCACGATCTCTACGCCGTTACGCGATGATTATTAAATCAGGTATCATTCGTCACCAGCTTGCACTCGCACGGAGACGTACGTTTCGAAACATTGTACCGAACGCGACGATTACGTTGACGCTTACGCGTATTTCGTACGGAGATGAAGGATGCATTACGATACGATAGATTCTCTGTAATTCGCTGAAACTCTGGAGCGATAAATGACGAATTGTCGCGTAGAAGAACCGAAACTGTAGGCAGAGCTGGTAACCGTTTAAGAGCCATTTTGAAAGAGAGGCAACGAAAGAAGGAGAAATTAAAGGACCATGTCGATGAGACACGCTAACGCAACAGCAAAAGTTTCTCATTTTTGACTTTTTCGGAAATTGTACCGTCGTATCTGCGCGGTATTCTTGTGATAAAATTACACGAAACACGACGTGATTTGGTGCACATTTCTTCGTTTTAAAAATGATAACGATTTGTTTCCTTTGGCCCGTAAAATACGGAAATATGCACTAAATTATGCCGCGTTTGGTATGATTTTACCTAGAGGAAACGACACAAATACGACGGTACAATTTTCACTTGCAAAAAGTCGAAAAATAAAAAAAAAAACTTTTTGTTGTTGCGTTAGCGTCTCACCGACATTGCCCTTTAATTTCTGTCGCGCCGGTCTCGCTGTTACAGTTGGCCTAGTTTACACCGTAAAACCTTTTGATACGGATGTCAAGCTGATCCGATGTAAGCCTTATCTTGTTTACATAACATAGGTCAGAATTTTGCGGTGGGGATCGTTTCCAGCGAATTATAGAGAATCTACTGTATGTGACAAAATATGCAAGTGGGCATTTTTACACATAGATATTATCGTTACTGTTTTATTATTACATTATACGTTACATTAATTCGTTTATATTATATTGCAGAATATTACTTGTTTGTGGATAAACATCTGACATGGATAATCGAACGCGTTACGCTGACAACGAAAATGTACCATAGGTACGAAGCACCGTAAGTAATCAAGGTCTGTATTTAACAGCATTTGTAAATAAATCATTTCTCGTGGTAAAATTTAAGTGTAGGATTCGAATGTGATTTCAGGCCCCGCAAGAGGTAACGCGCCGGCCCTGTTGCGGGCCTTGTTTAATTCTATCTAAAAAAGGTCTCGACGAAACCGCCACGGTGACGGAAATTCTTGTCCGCGGTAAATTCCTTCCACTTCAGCCGCACTTTCGGGTCGCTTGGGCCCCAGTTTTCTTCGGATGGCCGGAACGCCGCTTTGACAGTCTGCGAGACAACGATCGACCAGTAAAAATATATCGTTGGTATTTAATCAGATTTCCATAGAAAATTCAGTAAAATTCCAATCAAAGATCGAGCAAAGGTTCCCTTGTGCATGCACCTGGGCCTAATTATTCCACGTAATTACTCACTTCGATCAACGACGGTGACCTGTTCGCTATCAGTTTCTGCAGAATGAAACCGACGATCAGTGAAACTCCCACGGCGAGCAGGAGCCAACCGATGACTAGAAATATTTCAAACGGTAAGATCATGAGAAAAAATGAAAATACGTACTCCCGATGGCGTCCCGATTCACGTAATTCGAACTACGTACCGTAGGCGTATGCCGGAAATGGTGCGCTGTCGTAGGTGGGCGGCTCGTAGGTGACGATGGTGTACACCAGGATGACGATCATGAGCACAGGTGTTATGAATGCCCAGCAGAATCTCCAGTACCACGACGGTCTCGAACCCAGCATGAACTCCATGTCGTTCAAAAAATTCGTCACGCCGTAAATCCAGAAGATCGTTACCATTTCCAAAAGGCCGACGATTATGGCGACGAACGTGCCACCGTAATAATCGACCAACGTTATGAACCATTGGCCGCCCTTGAACGATTAAATTAATAATCATTAGAGTAATTAATATTCACTAGAGTATCGTAAATTGTCGTCCTGTGTTTAAGGTGACCGATACATACGGGTGTGATGTAGATGAGGCTAACAAGAAATCCCATAGAGGAAACCAGGAGTACCAGCTTCCAGTGGGATACCTTCGGGAAGTGATCGCAAAGGATGCTGAAAACAGCGCCGCATAGAGCCACCGCGCTTCCAACGCCGAGCACGAACATCATCACGAAGAAGAGAACAGCGAAGAGCTGCGGAACCACCGTGAAACGGGACAAAGCCTCGGGATACGAAATGAAGGCGAGACCAGTCCCGCCTCGGACCACCGACGATATGTCGCTGGTGCCCATCTCGTGCGCCAGGTTCCCAAGGATCCCGAAAATCGTACAGCCGGCTATCAGGCTGGTGAACGTGTCCAATGTCGTCACTATTAACACGTCCCTGGAATTGCAGATCAGAAAAATCATTGATCGTTCGTCGTTGTCTCCTTCGACGGCATTAGGAACTTTGATCAAGAGTCTCGCCTGCTGACGTTGTGCTCGAAGTTGCTGTAAGACGAATAACTGACGATGGATCCGAAGCAGACGGACAAAGAGAAGAAGCACTGAGTGATGGCGGCGTACCACACGTTCGGTTGCCAGAGCTTCTCCCAATCCGGCGTGACGAGGAAGAGGATGCCGTTTCCTGCGCCCTCCAAGGTCACCGATCTGATCAGCAAGGCGATCATTACGACGTATGGGAATATCGCCAGAAAGTAGGCTGCTTTTCCTGTGCTCTTTATTCCGCGGAAAAGTACACCAAATATCGCCATCCAGCTTAGGAACAGACAGATCGTCAGCTGCCAAGATGGCAGCCCGATGCCGTCGTCGATGGAGTCGTACTCGTTCAGGACGATCTTCCTGGAAATCGTTTGGAAATTTGGACGGAAGACTCGTAACGATAACTCGTTCTGCGATACGGTATTGTCTCGGAATAAGCAACTCGCTATTCCCACCCTTTTTTTTTTCAAGGTTTAAGGTTTAATTTGTTAAGGTTGACATCACAGGTTATTAGCGACCTTATTCCCACCTTTTCATTCGAAGTCACCCGCCGAGTGAGAGATAAATCTTTCATGGCCGACTGAACAGATTAGTGGAAAGAGCACAGAATATGCGTAATGTTCTCCTCTTTCTCTGGCGTGTGTATTCTCCGAAATACTACCGTTAGTTGTACATATACTTTACTAGTGGTAAAATGAGAAATCATGTTATCTTCTATCAATCTCCAAAGCACGACACTCGGTGCTCGAGCCAACACTCGAACCCCCTGTTTTGTGTCTATTGGTTCCCTCTTGACGTGGGGCCCTCGACGAGGGACAAAGTCGAGCCGAATAGAGCTGCTTATTTCGAGACAATACTGTGATTAGTTTCCTGTAGTTTCCGTTGCTTTTGGTCTCGGATGGAACTCGCAATAATTCCACCAACGATCGAGTACTACTCGACTAACCTGAAGTACAATTCCGCGGAACTGCGAACGGTACCGTTGGCTACGAAAGTGGTGCTCTCGTCAGGGTCCTTCGGAACCGAGTCGACGCATTGACCCTGCCATTCGTCGCGACAGAATGACCAAGGCAATTCGGATTGGAAACTGGCCGCGAGATAGTACAACGTCAAAGCCATTAGAGCGCAATAGTAAGAGACCACGCACGTCGCTGCGAAAGCCTGGCCGTACCCCAACCCTGGAAGTAACATTTTCGTTACATCTACGGTAGCCAAAGAAAGTATTATGTACGTTTATTAACATGTACGTGTATACACCGAAGCAAAAAGACTAAAGATATCGTTTATCAACTCGCCTTACGCTAAATGTTAGCATTAGTTTCAATTACTTTAAGATCGAAATTGAAATCTGACTCACTCTTAGCACGGGCGAAGTCGTGCCGAGGCCTGCTAGTTTTTTTACAAACACGATACACGCGTCATACGATGCTCGACGAACCGTAACTCACAATCATCCGTAACGGTATACGTGCGAATGTGATTCTCAAACTCGATTCTCGCGAAAACTGAGCTTCAAATGAAACAATTTTATTCCATATATTGTTCTTATTTCTTTAGAAGCCTTCACCTTTCATCGCCGGCGCCATGGACCAAGTCTTAGCGCAGGATTTGTTGGTGAACTGACCCAGAAGACCCTCCAGGAAGTAGAAGGGTTTTCCCACGAATACGAGGATAATGATGTAAGGTATCAGGAAAGCGCCGCCTCCGTTCTCGTAAGCAGTGAATGGAAACCTCCAAACGTTACCGAGACCGACGGAAGTGGCTATGCATGCCATTAAAAATTCCAGTCCACCTCCCCATTCTGCCCTCTGCGCAAGAAAATACACTGGACGTAATTACGATAAAGTGGTAGCGGCGATTACAGAACTCGCCGACTATGCCAATTATTGTACCGTTATTTTAACTTTCACGTACTCTGTTTAACCTGCGTCAAGATTACTTAATCTTGCGAGTTGACATTATTTTCATTCGCGGTTGCGTTGCTTTTTTTAATACAAATTGTAACGCGACTAAGATTTGTTCTGCGCGTCTTGCTTCGCGTCGTATTCACTCATCGACACCTTAGACCGCGTCGTGGTTTTACAACTTGACGTACCGTTCGCAGAAACAAAGATGTCATGCAAACGTAGACAAGGCGATTAACTCGAGCTAATACGTCGAAATGTAAACCGACAGGAACGCGCGTAGATTTATTGTTCACGTATTATCGTTCCGAAGCGATCGTTATCAGACCAAATTACGTACAGGGTTGCTGGTTTCCTCGGGTACTTTCTCCGGCGCGTTCGACCCTTTCGACTTGGCGACGTCCGTGGAATCGTTCCCTTTCCTTCCGACCTCCTCCATCTGGAAGGCCTCGTTCGCGTGACCATTCCGTTTCTGCAAACATTTCCCTGCTATTTTACGAGCGCATCGCTAACGACAGACATTTCTAACGAACATCAATGAAATATCTCACGTAAACTCCGTCCTCGAGTCTCTCCATGTCCGAAGATACGATATCGACGATTTACCGATTCTCCACTCGTTTAAACCGCGTACGATTCGCTGTAACCTCGGCTGGAATCGTTCACCGCACTCGTCGATTAATTCGAATCCGTTTGCGAATCCGTTTCCATCTAGGTAGCACACCTTCGCGACAATATCCTTTCGGCGAAAAGACACTGGACCGTTAACGCGTGATAAACCATCACCGAATGTTTCCTTCCTCGCCTCGTAACTTCCTCTTTAGCGGGTAGACAATGGCCCCCGGACTCCTCGTTATAATAATCGCATATTTCAGGCGAAAATAACACGCTTCCAAAGATGTCACCAGCTGCTTACATAATTCTGGAGATCGATTAGCCTTAATGTATTCCTCGCGTTCGGAGTTTCTTCGTTCCTGGCGGTATCCGATCGATCGAGAATCGGCCGTCAATGGCGAGCGATGCTTCTGGTAGTCACGGAAGTGGCCCAGGAGGTCGTCGGAGGTTCGACTCTGCGAACAATTTGTCCGAGGGAGTCTGACCAAGCTGTTCCAAAGGCAGACATTGACGGAGTAAACCTCGCTCTTAACGCGCACGTCGATTAGATACCATCGACGCGAAACGTTCACCTTCGTTCTTCGAATTTCATCTCTGCGAGCCGTGCTGCACTCGCTCCCGCGTCTATTCAGACAGGATGCGGCAAGTGTCGGTTATCGACGAAGGTTCGCGTTCCACGCGCGAAAACAACGGGATATTCACGGATCGAGGACAATCGTCGGGCGTAAATTGCGAAATTTCGGAACGTGGAGAACGTTCTCGGTCTCCTCGGAGAGGATCGGAGAAATTAGACACGGGGATCGCGTGCGAATCGAGGCAAATCGTCGAATCTCTCGGGCTGTTTTCATTGGAGCCAGAGAAGCCTGCCTGGGAATTGGGATTAGGACGCATTCAGGCATTTTTTTTTTGGAAACAAACGACACTGGGAATAAGTGTCAGGGGAGAACGTTTCTTGGCGCGTGTGTCGCGCGTTTCGTTTTTAAAAATACCTCAAATTGAAATATTGTCGTGCGTACAACATACTAGCTGCGGCCCGCTTGTAATATACTATTTATTTCATTAACCGACTTCGAAAAAGGAGGAGATTACTCGATTCGATATGTATATTTTTCTTTTTTTTTTTTTGTCGTTTACGTTTAACCGACAGCTCGACCACGTGATTGTATCTCATGTAGCTTACGTTCGACTGATTGTTCAACCACGTGAACCTTCGTGAACCGGTCAGTCACTGTCTTTAGTTCTCCTAGTTCTTCTGGTTCGTCGTATCGAGTAGCATAAAAACCTTCTCCATGAAAAAATACATATTATGTTCCAAGTTTCACGTTGATCGGTCAAACAGTTTCTGAATCTATCGTATGCATGTACAAGGTGTCCCAAGAATGTTAAAAGTCCTTGAAAGGAGTAATTCGGGGAGTGATTCGAAACAACATTTTCGCTAAGGAAACTCCAACAAGGACCTCCTACATTCTTGGGACACCCTGTATATACAAACATCCATTTTTATATATACGGATATACAATGATATACATATTATTTCGAGTAATGAAAATCGTCTAGTACTGTGGAACCCATAATGTGTCTTCCTTATATTTCTCTCTCTCTCTCTCTCTCTCTCTCTCTCTCTCTCTCTCTCTCTCT